AGTTGGCCAACGTTTCATAAGTTCATGGGGGGGGGGGGGTACTCATAGTCGTGCATGCCGTAGTCGTTTGACCATTGACCTCGCATCCCTACAAAGCCGGGACGGAGCACGCCGGGTTCTCACCGGACCAGGCTCTCACGCCACCAAGCGCGAAGCGCCGTGAGGTATGCGGCGAGTCGCATGAAGGGTGCGCTGCATCCTGCTAAGGGTGTTCGGCATCTTGTGCTTACTTCCTTGCGTACGGATGACAGCTACGTATGACTTAACTTATTTTCTGGTGCTTTCACTTCCAGAGACAGTTGAAAGCACTGTGTAACTGCCTCGAGGATGCTTGACCATTTTAACACAACGTGGTGCATCATCCCCCTTGCGCGGAGTGAGGGTTCTCCACCCCGCACAACCTGATCAACTCGACCACCATTATGGTTACCGCCAAAAAAAAAAACAAGGTAAAAAAAAAAACGGTAAACTGGTTGCCGAGCTCACGAAGTGAATTGGCTTGTCATACAACGTCGTTGCCAAGCGACGAAAACCCAATCCCGATGGCAAACACCGAGGGGGGGCTTGTTTTACAACGTCGTTGCCAAGCGACGAAAACTCACCCCCGATGGCAAACACCGGGGGGGGCGGCTTGTTTTACAACGTCGTTACCAAGCGACGAAAACCCGTGGGGGGTTCATGGGGGGGGGGGGGTGAAGAATAGGGGGGCCGGTCCCATACCGTGGACTAGACCTCACGTGCAGCCACCAGACCTAGCCGTACCAACGTGCATGTCGCTGTCCTCTACGATGCTTAGGTTGGGAATCCGAAACGCGAAGAAGGTGCATTACTACCCGCCTGTTTCGTCTGGAATCTAGCTAGACTCATGACATTTTTCTTCTTGGGGCTGAGACTAGGTGTGCGGAGGTAGACTCCGTGATACGCTGGCGGAGGCAAGCCCCAACCGCTGCTCTGTGCAGCAACGAACGGAATTTGTAAGTATTGGCAACACTTCCACCTGATCTTGTGTGTCTGATGTGGGACTCGCTGGGTTCTCCGTCGTTTTTTTTTTAAACTAAAAGTATTCTGCGCGGGGAATCGTAGAAACACAAGGTTATTGCCAATTAATCCCGGGCTCTATTGTCTGTGGATAAAGATGAGTTCTTTGTTTTCTACTTCGAAATACTGCTGTAGATTGTAAGAGGGAGACCCACTGCTGTTGATAGTTGTGATAGTTACAAGAGTACATCATCAACAACAATGGACTGACGAAACGCAGAAGAAATCCTTGACCACAAAAACTAACCTCGTACGATAGCGCTCCGCGCTCCTCCGAGCGCACCCCCGCCTGTTCCGTGAGAGCCACCATTCCCGCGCCCACGGCCAGCCCCGCCACAGCCACCAGGCCCCCGTAAATGATGTCTTGCTCGACCATTGTCAACGACGACCTCGCATGCCGTCGCTGCTGCTGCTGTGACGATGCCTGAACTCCGCCTACGAAAGGGGAGGTGGTACGGCCGCTACGCGGCAGGGAAGCCGTCGGCGCCAGGAAGGCCGAGGTGAAGGGAAGAAAGAACAGCAGTGCCCCGATGGATCGCATGGTGTTTGTGTCTGCTTGGCGGGAGAGGTTGACGCAGAACGCGGGGGGATTAGTGACTCGTGGGTACAGCAGTGACACGACGATTTTGGAGTTGGGAGGCGGGACGAAAAGACGGCACGGGGCAATTTTGAAAGGAGGCGCGCTGATGGATACTGGATGATGCTACGAAGCTAGTCAGCGCTTTCGCCGTGGACATACTACGACGGTGGTTTTGTTTGTGTTGGAAGAGGATGTGTGTACAGTAGTTCGTACGAGACTGAAAACTAACAGTCCTGTGCGGCTGGTTCGACAGAAAGCAGCACAGCGGTCACAGCTAATCACGGCGGCACGGCATCGACAAAGAAGAGTTCACGTACGTGAGAGACCAGGCTCCACTACTGTGAAGCGAGGGTTTCTTCCTTACAATACGCGGTTGCTTTTTCCGTTGTACACACACAGAACAAACGAATGCGGAGAGGCGGACGCACACATGAACATGACGTTGCGATCGGTCTGACGTATGTCGTGTCGCAAGTTAGATCACGCCAACGGAGAGTTTTTATAGCAAAGAAACCAGCTTCCATATCCTCTTCTGATTTCGCAATCCCTCCTTGAGTTACCGCACCTGTTTCTGAGTCGACGTGTACCGAGCGGGGGGAGGTGCACGAGACGAGTGCTTGATGATGTGTTGCCGATCAGCGCAGTGGTGCGGTACGACCGACGACGACGGGGGGGGGGGGGGGGGGTTCGCGGTCGGAAACGCGGGGCAATTAAACCGTGCGATCCTGTGAGGCACATCTCCTTCACTGCTGGCGTATCTTACATTCGAGGCACCGTGGCCACCGGTAGTATCGTGCAGCACAACGCGGGATCAGCGATCTTCTGGGCGTATCAATCGAGCTCCGAGTTCACTTCTGTTCATATGCACAGCAGGCGGTCCTTTCGCTCCGCGGTGAGTTCGCCAGTAAGCTCCTCCCGTACGCGGGTGAACTCCTGCCGTATCTATGATATGTGCTCTGTAACTTGTAGTCTAGAGGATACAGATTGCACGCGTACCAAAACTATTGATGTGCGTTGCTCTCAAGGGCTTTGGTCTTTCATCTCTATGCATTATGAATCCTGAATCGTTTCTGCGTATACTGTATCAACTTGTGAACAGCCTAGTTGACACAAAAGTTGTCGGCCAGAAAGGAAGCGGGTGAACACGAAGACCTTTGATTTACTTGTGGTTATACATGTAAACTCAGTAGGCTATGCAATGTACATCACCACAACAGAATTGGCACAGCAGTTCCCGAGATCTCGCAATAATATACTTACAGTATATCATGACCCCACAACGTACCGTCGGACCAGAGACAAACGTTTTCAACGGTACACCTTTTGCTTGCCATTTGCAGGTACATACCTCCCCTTCAACCTACGCTGTACGGCGGAGACCTACAACATAGCACTGCTGCAATAGCCGGTTTCCGCTGCGCGAGAAAAGCTCCGCACTACCGTACGTAAACCAGGCAACTTCTCGCACAGGTGCCTGCACAACGGTGCCACCACCAGTGAGCCTAACTTAGAAATTCGTAGCGCGACAGGGCCGACCGGAAATAAAAGTATCTGGGTCCGACAGAGAAACGACCAGGACGTTCTGGAAAAAATGCTGACGACGGCGATCCGGGGCAACGGATCTTGGAGCGCCGCTCTCGGCCGCGGGCAGTCGCACTCCACCGTCGTCGCTGCTGCGAACAATTCGTCAGATTGCTCAACTTCGCCCAACCCGTACAAGCGAAGGGGACTGCTTCGGCGAATAGACCCGCAACCTCAACGAAAGTTCGACATCGACAGAAACAGCAGTAGTACCGGGGTGCGACCACCTTCGCTGACGAGCCCAACGAGTACCAGCGTCGCTCCCGGAGGGGGATCGCCCTCGTGGAACTCTCTTTCCGCACCGGGTACTCCCCGAAGCAATTCCCCCAGCAAGCGGCCTTGGTACCCTGCGAGTCGCCGCCCTTCTTCACGCGATAACGGCGAAAGCGGTGCCGACGATAGCGCATACGTCGTCCACCCCTCGTTTCGGCACTTGTTCACTGAGAGAGCCCACAGCAGCAGTGCAAATGACCCGTCAAGAAGCCGTCAAGTGTACAGCCAAGGACCTCACCACGGAGCCAGCGGCGGCGGCGTCAGTGGCGGCGAGAACTCGGGGCGTCGGCCGGGAACAGCCGTGTTCTCTGTAGGCGGTTGGGATCCGTCGTACTCGTCGTCAACGAAAGAAACCACCGTAGCTCGACGGTCAGAGAGACCCGGCGAGGTCGAGCCAGCCACTGCGGGAAGATGGAGAGGCGTCCATTTTTCCAAAGCGAAACATAGTCCACCGGAACAACAACGGCGGGATACCACAACAGGGATTGGCAGCGCCCCCGATGCTTCATCCAGGCAACGTGGAGGAGAACGCGCTTCGTTTTCACCCACAGATAGATGGTCGGGCTTTGGATCGAAGTCGGACGCTTCTCCTGCTCGTCTACGCAGCAACGACCACCGGTCGCCTCGGGAGATGGGAGGTCAACGGCCATACGTCGGAAGAGAGACGGTGGAACAAGAAGGGGCTCCTCTTAAAACAGTTGCCGCAATGAGAGGACGCGTGCGGGACATGCAGGCGCGAAGAAGGCCGCGCCGGCAAGAGAGAGGCGGAAGGATGCCGCCGGCGGACAGCAGAAGGGGAGAAGGAGACCCGAAGCTTCGGTCTTCCGCCGTGTTCATTGGGCACAGCGAGCAGGTGTTGGCTCTAGCCCGATGCGAAGATATCTTGTTTTCAGCGTCAGCTGATGGCACCGCGAAGGTAAATCAATCCTCTTGGCCTTCGTTTGTAGCATCTATTCGTCGTTCGCCTTACCTATTATATCGTGCGCCTTATTATTATTTTTTTGCTGTGTATCTGGTTATCAGGTTACAAAGGAGCAGTGTGACCCTCTCCTTTAATGACCCCGCGCCACGTGCCGCGTTCCGCCAAAAACTTGCCCTTACGATCGTGCGGTGGTTATGCACACTGTCCGTCGACAATGGTTTCTAGGCCTGGGATACCTGCTCTCAACAATGCCTTGCTACCTACAAGGGTCACCACGGAGCTGTGTGGGGGATGCAGGTCACGGGTCGCACCCTGATCACGGGTAGTGCAGATGGCACGGTCCGGTTCTGGGACATTGAGACCGCTCAGTCCCTTAGCGTTCTCGATCTGGTAAGACTGCCCAGAAAAGGGGCCGAGCCGCGTTGTCTGCAACAGCGGCGTTCGTTGCGTAATGTAACTGGACTTGTTTGCTTGTGCATTATGACACATGGCTCGTGACCCCCCCCCCCTGCAACACTCCCCACGATATGCCGACAATCAACAGCCCAGATTCAAGAACAAACCCAACCTCGATTCACACGAACGTCTTTTTACACACATGCCGGTGCACGCCTTCTTCACGGTCCAGCGTTCGGCTGTGCGGGATGTGGTGATGGTGGGAGACTTCCTTGCTGTGGCGACATCGAATCCGGGGATTGAGATCGTGGAGCTTAAGCGCATGAGGAGGCACGGCACCCTCGAGGGCCATTTGCTAGCTGTGTCCGCCCTGGCATCGCTTGAGGGCGAAAATCTCTTGGTTTCGGGGTCACACGACACGTTTATCAGGCAAGAGAAAGAACCTGCACCCTAAGCATTCTCAACATGTCGGAAACTGTTTTTTAATCGGTGTGTACACGGCACAAAGTCGCAAGGGACTTGTCTACTCCGAGCAAGCAACGTCCTCAACAATCGGCATGTGGGGCAAAATAATAGTCCGCGTCCTCCTTTCCACTTGGTCGTGACGATGTACTGCGTCTCCCTCGGGAAAAAACTCTGAATGTGTTCCAAACTAAGTATCTCCCCGGCTTACCCTTCGATGCTTTGCATACGTGCATGCGAAATGTGAGCGCCAGCTTATTACGCTTTTCCCTTGGTTCCGTTAATCGAACATGCCCAACAGAGTGTGGGACCCGGACACCCTAACCTCCAAAGCCGTTCTTGGTGGCCATGGCGGCACCGTCGGGGCGATTTGCACCGTTTCTTGGCCACAAGGAGGCCACGATCATGCCAAGAGAGCGGCGGAGGAGGCCCTTATTGTTAGCGGGTCTGGCGACGGCACTGCCAGAGTTTGGGGACAGCAAGGTGTTGGTGACAAGGGTCAGAGAGAGTGGACGTGTCGTGCGGTGCTTGAAGGACACAGGTGGGTGTGTGGGCTCTCGTTCTACATGAGGAGTCGGTATCGTAAGTGGGTTAAACTCTGTACACTTGTCTCGTATGTGGGATGGGGGGGGGGTACTCATAGCGTGCATGCCGTACTGTAGTCGTTAGACCATTGACCTCGCATCCCTACAAAGCCGGGACGGAGCACGCTATACTCTTGCACTGTTTGTTTGTCATCGAGTAGCAATTCGGTCGTCGACGCAAGACCCCAAAACAGTACAGATCGAACGGAAGCGATTGGTGACCGGAACCCAGCTTCCTACGAGCGAAACAGAGAAAATTCTAGATGTGAACATGAGGTATCAGTCACCAAAAGTCTGTCCTCGCCGTCGTTTGCGCACGCCTGGCTGACCCGCTCCGCAAGGGCAAGCTCTCGTCCAATCCAAGGCGAACGTTGTTACAATCATCATCGTTCCTGGGCACGGTACATGTGCAGAGAACAGAAACCGACAGCCTTCGTGATCTTTTGCTCACCTACAAGAAAACCCGCGTTTCTGACCCAAGCTTCTCTGATTGATCGCACCCGGGCCCACAATAATCAGGCACGGGGTTTGGGCGGTGTACGGCTCATCTCTCTCCGGTGCCTTTGCGACCGGCGGCGGGGATGCCACGGTTAAGCTGTGGGCACCAACCACAACCAACAACGCTGAGCACGGCAACGAAGAAGCGGAGAGAGGCAACCTCGGCAGCGGGGAGTCCAGGCATCAGCAGCAGCAGCAGCAGCAGAGGTGGGAGCTCGTAGGTGGAGTGAGGGGTACCGCTGGAGCCGTGGGGGCCGTCCTCATCGACGAACAGGCGTTGGTTTTCGGCACGTCAGAGGCGCTCATCGCCAGGTTCCCGCTGCAGTTGTGCATGCCGGCGCGTTGACTCGGACGTATGAGTTCTTGGTCTCGAAACTCCTTGGCTCAGTCTCGGGGGCCGACCGGGCAAACATTTTTGAAAACTAAATAGGCAAGAAAAATGCATATATAGTATTGTATGTATCGGCAAAGTTCCCACCGCTAAATTAGCACGCCATGCTTATCGGAGGCTTGCGTTGCCGGTTTGTTGTGAGGTCTTACGCGGGACAATGACCTCACGAAAGCTTCAAATTTTTGGCAACGCCAGATGCTCAAGAAGACACGGCGCCCTCGAGGGTGGACATTGTCATACCTAGGCTCTCCTCTCTAGCCACGCTGTGACATGATTCTGAAAGGAAAGACAGCGAGTGCGCCCGAGTATTCTCTCTCTTTCTCTCTCTGCAGACCGTCGTGGGCCAACAAAACGCGTCTAGAGAAAAACAACGTCGGCGGTGTGATGATTTCCATGGCAAGTCGCCTCGTCAAAACGCAATAAAAAACGAGGTCGACAAGTATATACCCCAGTGGTGATACCATAACAATCTGGTTTCACGCAAACTCCTCCCGCAGTAGCTCCACGACTCTGCGCCACGAGTCCTCTTCGGCGTGCTCGCAGTACGACAGGCCCGCGTCCCTGTCGGCCTGACTCGTCTTCTCGGGTCTCGTGAAGGCATGCATGGCACCCCCGCCGTACCGGACGACCTCGAGCCTCGCCCCTCGCCGCGAGAACTCCTCTTCCATCGCTCGCACCTCGAGGACGAGAGTCAGGTGGAACGAGATACGGTAAGGAGAGGTGTGAAGGGGCTAGAATAGTTCGGCTGCTGAGGCCGTACCACAAGTCTTGTACTACCCACATACTACGGGGCGATCCGTTGCCGAAACAACATAGCACTATCCCCACGGTTTTCTGTGAGACGTGCACTAGCTGTACGTAGCCGTTAGCCGGGCGACGCCCCCCTCAAACACTGTAGTCCTCGATGACATCCATCGAAGTTCAGCGACACGTCCGAACAAGCCAGCAGGTCGTGGGCGACCAGGAAGGCTTCGAGCTGCCTCCCGCGCCGATGTGACGGTCGGGCCGCTGGATCATGGGCAAGGGGGGAAACACAAGGGCGTCCTGTTCCAGGAACCCTTACGCGCTAGGGTAGGCGCAACTCATGTTCACCAAACTCATCTGGGCAATGTAGAGCAGGGTCAGCTGTGTTTGACACCCCCCCCTCCCGCTATGAGAGAGCCGCCGAAACTTGTCACCAAAATCACATGTACCTGCTCTGGCGGCACAAACGGGTCCGCCGTTGCGTGCAACACCAGCACCCTTGGCACAGCAAGCGCGGCGTCATCCGCTGCCAGATCCGCACCGTCCTCGCCCCCTGTCCCCGGCGAAATCGGCGCTAGGATCCCGTGCAGGGACGCCACCGCTTTAAGCCGCGGAGGCGTGTTTGCGCCGGCATCATCACCGTCAGTGCGTACCATCCTCGCGAGATCCAAGACGGTCATGCCCCCGAAGCAGTATCTGTCGCGTTAATCAGTTATAAGCACGCCTGTTAGGCGTAAAATGTTAAAGGCAGTCTTGGACAAATCTCTTTCATTTGAAGAGTGACCTGGTGAGAGACGGCCTCTGCGGGATGAAACTCAGCACCAGAAGCCCGCTATTTGCCGCGGCGTGAAACGCAGCGATGCACCTGGGCCACAACTCAACTCTATACCTGTAACCGTGAAATCAAAAGCGGTCTCTTACACACTCGCGAAATGGCTCAAGGATATTGCTAACACTGCCCTAGAAGTAACAACATTGTACAACGCTTGCAGATCCACCTTCCTTACCCCACCGCCGCGAGCCTCTCTTGATCAACCCCTTCCATCTGGCTGAGGGTTCGGACGGCCGCCGTCGCACGTGCCTGCGGTATTCGGCATGTACGCGACAGGGAAAGTATGCGGGATACGTGGACAACCAAAGAGCCCCACCTGCCCGTACTGTTAAGAAGGCACGTGCTGTAAGTTCTCGATCTATCAAAATGGTTTTTCTCAAGTGAGCCCCATCAGGCAAAAGCCGACCAGACTACCCAATCCAGAGAGTGATTCGTACACCTGCATGAGGGATCGGTCCTCGGTGATTGGCCTTCTCGCCGCAAGGGACTCGGCGCGGTTCCACAGGGCGCGCCCCGTGCCGAACATGTCGAGAGCGAACGCCGCGTAGCCGAGAAGGGCAATCTGATCCAGCTTCCACAGAATCATGTCTGCTTTTTGGTTCAGGGTAAGGGCACGCGGTCGAGGACGCCACCGGCTCTTTTCAGGAGGAAAGTGTGTGGCATGCAACAACGCTCGTAGCTTCGCTAATAATGAGCCGCGGAGCGCAAAGCGCGAATTTTCTTCCCTTCGTCTCCAGGAGGGAAAAAAAGGCTCTATATATCGGCCAAAGTTGCGCCGCGCGATACAGGGCCCCCAAAACTTGATTTCCGGGAAGCCGAAATAACCCACCTTTGGAACGGGAACGAGATTCATAGGGCACCGATTGACAATCTGTTCGCTTCTGAGGAAGAAGAAACATAGCGCCCTCTGCGTCACACCGGTTTGGTCGTGCTCCGATAGCAGATGGCCGTGCTACACAAGCGTTTGTGCCCTAAATTTGTAGGAGATCTTGCTCCCCAACCCCGGGGTTTCTACGCGAAAAGGCGTGCACAAAAGCGGAGATCGCGCGTACGCGCGATTGAAACCAGGAGAAGAACACACCGAGACAGACAGAGACAACAACACCAACAACAAACGCATCACCGCTGAGACGCTGATCGAGACCAGCTATGGAAACCAGGAGGGGCCGGGCCTATACGACCTGTGCGCCGTGGGTATAGTCATGCGCCATGTATAACCTGGCGGGTGTTTATTGATGTTGAGTGGGTCCAACCGACTGCTCTAAAACAACAGCAGACCGATGATCACAAACGAACACACAACAAAACACACATTCCCAAGTCCAGATCACACCTACACACCATGAAGATAAACCGTCGACGTCGAGGGCGTGAGGGTCTACTACTGCTGCTGCTGTGCGTTATCAGGACGGTTCCTTGCGGGATCGGTTCCGGTTGCGTACTTGCGCCGCGCTACTGATTGTCTTCGCAAAAGCCGTACCCTGCCTGCTGTTGTTGCTGCTGCTTGGGTGGTCTCTCGCATCAAAGTCATGGTCATCAACGGCTTTGTTGTTGTTTGTTCAAGCTGGGTACCTCCCGTGATGTAACATACAATATGTATGTAGACTGTTTGCTTTCACTTGGCGGGAAACTCGAAATGCTTGAAACAAATGTGCCGGGCAAGTTGTAAGCCTGTGTCTACGCTGCTGGTCGTGCTCCTCGACGATGTGATGTATGATACTGTCGCCGCCAGGTATATGCCGCATGCGTGCCTCTGCCAAATGCCAGATGCCCAGATGTGGGATGTGCGTCTTTGCGTCCGCACAGCGGGAAGACTTCACATTTTGTTTCTTCGTGGGTGTATGCATGTGCATCAACGGAAAAGAAACAACCGCACGTAGACTGCAAAATTTAATTTTGAATGGGGGCTGCACATACAACCATCGTTGCTTCCATCGCACGCCTGCCCTCCACAAAGGATTCACGCTGCTGTGTGTCGGGGTTCGTGCACCATCAGCATCGCAGACAAGACTACTGCAAGGTATTGAGTCGCTACCCCGCGGTTCATTACCCCGCCTTATCTAGTAATAGAACCCACGAAATGGACCAGGATAGAAGTAACGAGGCTAGGCGACTTCCGGTGTAGGAAGAGCTTGGAAAGCGCCACAGGAATTCGAACGGCAGCCCAAACTCCGATAGGTAGCCAGCGCGAGTGGTCCTCGCTCATGTAGACTACACAGAGAGGCCACATCTGATGATGCGCGATTCGAATGCAGCGCAAGCGCACGCATTTGCTTGCATCGCATTGCATGATATCCACAGCCAGCCGAAACTTACCTTCCTGCAGGCCCACCGCGGTGTGCGCGAGGATGACGCCAGGAAGCCGGTCGGGAAGGCCCTCGCCTTCGGGTCTTGCGTAGAGGCCTTGGAGGGCCGTGTCCCCGTCGCTGTACTCCACGACGCTGCGCCTGATGCTCCAAGAGGCGGAAGAAGAAGACGCGCCTCTACCGTTTGTTGTGTCGGGGTTGGTAGTGGCTGCAGCCCAGGCTTCTCGAATTACCTGGTCTCGAGAGGAGATTGTCACACACATAGAGAGGGTGAAGCCGCACCACGTGTACAATAATTTGGAGGTGGTCCATTCATCCGTTCGACGAACCAGGTGCTGTACATACGTCGCAAGACTTCCACGCAACCCCAACCCAACGCACCGTTTTACCTTCCCGGCAGCCTCGTTGGCGCAGGTCTGCTTCCCTTCAAGCTGTGGCCATATGTCGTCAACGCTGATCATTTTCATGTCCAAGCTCTGCACACGTCTAAGTCGAGTGCCGGAGTTTTTCCCTGCGCAACGAGGGCTAAGCGCGTACAGCCAGCCTCTAACTGAGGGAAAGGCAGACAACAGCGCCACGAACTGGGCTAGACCTCTGCACATGTCGAATGTCGCTGTGTATCATGGAGATTGTGAGGGTGAGGCGGGGCGATACCGAGTGCCGAACAAACGGTCGGAACCAAAACGAACCAAATCGCCGAATGAAAACCCCTAAAAAAAAAAAAAGGTCGACGACGGAAGATCGAGTCTGTTGCCTACAACCTACAACGGCGAAAGATCTCCGACCGATCTCGCAGCAGGCGGAGCTTGGTTCACAGAAAACTTTCTCACAGCCATTACATCTATACACATTTGCCTTGAGGTATCACGGCGAAGGTACGTAGGATGGTGAACCATCGTACCGAAGAAGAAGCGACAATTGTGATCGATGTTGGAAGCTCGAGCGCGAAGGCGGGCTTCTCTGGAGAGGACATGCCGCGAGCTGTTTGCCCCTCGGTCGCAGAAGATCTACACCTCTCCGCGGAGGAGTTATCCACCTATCGCGCAAGGCGTCCCGAGGTACACGTGCCTAAAACAACGCCCTCGTCCCGCTCCCCCTTCTGTAGGTTAGCAACATCGCGACCTTCGATGTTTGACGAGATCCTTCTCCTTTCGTTCCCGCCACTCCTCAGAACTCAAAACACCTTCTTGTAAGATGCATGATAAACTACAGTGCAGCAGTACATGCACGTACGTAAACCATACCGTTTAGCGCCCGCACTCAAATACAACATATAACTGCCAAGTACACATGGTTTGCAAAGTCGTCGCTAATTTGCTGTAAATTACGCGAGTACATCTTGTGCGTGACATGTACGTACGTAGTACATGATCTACGGCGGCGGCGGGAACGCTCCATCCGAATGCCTCCTGCTGGTAGTTTGTCTGTGTGACCCTGGCTAGTGCGCCAAAACATGTACCGCGTGTAGTCTGGCGCCCAGAATAAATAGGACGAAAATATAAAGACACAAATGCAAGCGAACGGCCTGAAACAAGCAACGAACAAGGAAGGGTAAACTCTGTACATACAGCAAAAGTCTGGTATAGACCTTGGTTTGCCTTTTTCAGGTCAGAAAGTCTTCCCCGCAGTGGTCAGCGCTGACTGAATAGTCTAATGGATTACAGTTGCCTAGACTTTATTGATCAATTGTTTTGGGACGTGTCAACATTAGACCATAGGTCCAAGTAGCATCCTCGTCCCCAACAACGTTATCACGATGAAGGTAAACCTCTCGTGCTCGGTTCCATTTTTTGCCATCAATCATCATCCACCGGTAGAGCCGGGAGTGTTACCTGGAGTACGGAAACACGGGTAAGGACGACGAAGCGGTCGCCGCCGGCGATCACCCCGTGCGGCGAGGCGTTCTGCGGGACATCGACGAGATGGAGAAACTCATGGACAACCTCTTCAACTTCGAGCTGGCCGCGTACGCTGGTGCTCACACTCCGGTATGTAACCGGTGCAGCAACGACTGTCCCTGCAGGCCGTGCGAATATATTTAGTTGTAAGACATTTGAACTCGGACTGATTTCCATAGATCAAAGTGCTTGGTGATAGACAAGCCCTTGTATGTGATGCACGCGGAGAAAGGACAGCTGTTTGTTGAAACAAGGCTCAACAGCTGCGACGAGCGACTACAGTCCTCAACGTGCTGCACGCGTTTCGCCGGAATACGCACGCACGTCTATAGCGCCTTGTGCCACGGTTGGGGGCTGCACATTTCAAATTTATGGTCGTTACATAGCGATTTTGCTTCCAAATTTTCCAAGTTCCGACTATTAGACTATGCAACCGTTGTACTAGGGTAAAGCATCGCCCCCCCCACCCCCATTGGGCGGGGGGGCGGGCGGGGCACAAGGTCATGGAGGTCCAGGAGGATGGAAACATCCGTCAGAGGGGGAAGACAGGGGTGATGTTGACGTTTGATGATGGTAATTGTGGGTAGGGTAGAATCGCTGATCGCGACGTGCGTTTTCTCTTATAGAGTTGTTCCGCACTTCGAAGTACTGTGGTATAGTAAACACTGGCGCTTAGATGGCCAACACACAGATAATCCACACAGAATGCAGGAGACCAGACAACGGAAGTTCCCCAGAGATAACAGTACAGCAAAGGTACCATCACGGTCCACAGATCCATACGAGAGAGAGACACACGATCCCGTCAGCAGAGACACTGGGAAACTAGTTCCTCCGCATAGACATACGTTACATCTGAACCGATACATATGAGATCTACGATAAAAGAGCAGTGCTACTGAAAATTGACTCATATGTGTTCATCATGTGCTTTTCATGACACCGGCTTTCGAGAGTTCCATTGTTTTTCCCTCGGACGCAAATCGAGGTTCGACTGTCTACGGATTCGGAAATTTGGAATTTTGGAATTTTTTGGAAACAAATAGTTGCTGTATAAAACGGCCCTTATGCGCCGTCTTTGCAGGTGCTGATGGTGGAACCACCTTTAAACGAGCGCTCGCAACGGCAGGAGATGGCTGCAATGATGTTCGAGACGTTCAAGGTATTGGTTTGCTCCTGGTACTCGGAAAATGAAACAAGGTTATCGACCTCCCTTTAGGGATGGACTGCATTGTACCGTGGCTGGAGTTGGTTTGATGCACTTCCCCCCAAGACGAATTCGCCTTGTATGCTTCTATTATCGGCACCGCCGAAAAAGGTTTGAGATGCCGCAGTCACGTGTGGAAGAGTTCCCAACAACAAATGTATAGCGTGTGAAAGCACTTGCCTCGCAGACAATTCGTACAGGGTGTCGAACGGAGGGTAAGACATAATGGCACCGCTATACGACCATATTTGCGAGCTCATAACAGCACTCGTCATAGTTGCTAGGACGACCATGCGTCCCTCTATATTTTAAAATTAATCTCAGTGGCTAATTGTGTTCCACGTCCAAGCAGAGGCAGCGTCTTTGCGGCACATGCATCGAGCTAGCAAACCACACTAAACGAGGTACGCGGATTGCCAGTAATGTTTTGACACCTGAACGTAGGACACATTTTCCTCCACGGCGCGTCCCGATTTGGAACAGAGTGCCTTGCAAGCATGTCGATCACGGGTGGGTGCCGGTGCTCCGCTTCTACACCACCCTTCTCCGTCCTAACTCGTTTGGCTCCCACAGAACCTAGATGAGAACGCAAGGCGTAACCTGCGCCGAAGGGACAACCCCCGCCGCTCAAAACCGACCAGCAACAGAACAAACCTTTCCAAACTTGATTCTTTTTGGGTCCCCTATCCGAGAGGTGTCGTTCTTTCGTAGCGCGTGACCCGCGTTGAAGGGGGAAAAACCACCTACTACCGCTCAAACCGACCAGGAACGTAATTTTGCCAAAACCTGCTTCTTTTCGGGTCCCCTGATTGACGTGCCGCTCTTTCGCACAGGTACCGGCTCTCAGCGTGTGCAACTCCTCCGTGCTGGCGCTCTTCGCCTCCGGCAGGACGCGCGGGTTGGCCCTCGAGGTCGGGGGCGGCGTCGCCCACGCGGTCCCCGTCTTTGAGGGCTTCGCGCTCAACCACGCCGTGCTCAGGCTGGAGGGGGCGGGTCAAGACATCACCAATCGATTGAAAGGCCTCCTCGAGGAACGGGGACACCACCTGCCGGTGAGAAGTCTTGAAATGTTGCTACTGATATGGCGGTCCCGTAGCTACCTGCTACCGAAGGTGAGGACAAAGGAGGGGGGAGGGGGGGTACTCTCATGTTTTGCGTGCCTTAGCGGTTAGACCAATGGCCACGCGTCCTCGAGAGAACGGAGCATTGTTTCCACAGAACCAACCGCCGATGGCCAATAGCGCCATGGGGGGGGGCAACGCGTTGGAGTCCAATATTCACTTTTCAAGACTTTTGGTTATGATAGATAGCGCACACTGCACTGAATGCAGCGAACTTACTGAGGAGTGGAGGACCTCGGGATGGACAACAGGCGTAGACGGTCTTTCCTTGTCGCTAGACCGCTGCATGCTAGCTCTCGTTCGTGTACTTCGGCTGTTGGTACTTTTGACAGCTTATTCTGACGTCAAGAACTCCCCCGCGTGTCGCTATCCATCATTTCGGTATCCAATTTGGTGCAGTTCGATACGGTTCGAGACGTCAAAGAAAGCCTGTGCTACATCCCGACAGACCGCGGCGTTGCCCCCGGCGAGGACGAGTACGAACTGCCGGACGGGAACACGGTCACCCTAGACTCGGAATGCCGCAGCCAAGCTGCAGAGGTAACACACCCACATGTACTGATTTAGTCTTGCGAAGAGCTTCTACAGGTATCATTTTGGTTGTTGGACATCATCAAGATTGCACCACCGATTGTGCTGACTGACGATGTGCACCTTCAGCGAAACTCATGCGGGGAACCACTGCTTTCATTCCGAAGACGACCACCTAATCGTACATAGTTCCCGGCGGTCCCCAAGCTGCTACCTGGTATTGGATTTCTCGGCCCGTCGAACCGACCAACACCTTACCACGTACATTCGACCAGAAATCGATTTCTGATCCTTGAAAAGGTCGACAATTCGATCGTGAACAACATGCACAACAAGTGTTCGCTCTCTCGCGATTTAGAGTTACTAGTATTCACTGTCGGCGAACACGGGCCGCCTACGTGTTCCCGAAAATCTAGCATGACACGGAGTAGGGACAGTCGAAAAAAGGAAGACCAGCACGCTGTTTTCATGGTAGTAGGGTGGAGAGCTCGTCATTGCACGTGTCTTTTGAGCGCAACCCCTCCGTGATTCGCCTCGCCCTTCACGATCGATCCAAATACAGCTGATTTTTAACCCTGACGCTGGGGGCAAGGACTTCGCGGCGCGGGCAACAGACGGCGGTCTTGCGAGCATGGTCATGCAAAGCATCTCCATGTGTGACAAGGTGTGGGACGAGTTCTTCTCGAAGTACAATCGGGAAGCTAAGGCTCAGCATCTAGATAGATAGATAGATGGGCGACTTTTCGAAAGATGGGCTCTTCCCGTGCGCGCAGCTGCACCCTCGTCGGGCGTACTGTAAGCGGGTAAAGCACAGCTACTGTAAAAGGATTTTCTTTCAATTCTATTAAGAATGTGCATGCACCCGCCGCACGAATCACATTCCTCGCCGAAGCGCGGTGGTGCCTCTGTTATGGGATTTGAGTACGAGGATCCGAACGGTAGTTCTAGGAAAGGCATTCAGGTTGGTTATGGCGGGAGCGTTCACCCTGTAGGAACTGTTATCAAAGAGTGGATATCTGCCATAACGGCCCCTCCCAACCAACACCCCCTCAGGATATCAATCCTGACCTCCTGGGGTCCGTTGTGGTGGCGGGAGGAACGACGATGATGGCGGGGTTCGTAGAGCGTCTTCAAGACGATCTAGACAGGGTCTCTCCGCCGGGGGCACCTATGATGGCGAGCGTCATACCCCACCCTACGAGCCACGAACCCGGCTACAACGCGCAGAGAAAGCACGCGCCATGGATAGGAGGCTCGATGCTGGCGTCGCTGTCGCCGTTCAAGCAGGTGCATGTCGGCTGTATGACAAATGAATTATTGTAGGCATGCATGAAAGATAGTCGGTGTTCCCGGAACCACTCAGTAACGGGGCTACAATGACACGGGGTTTTCCCTTAACTACAACTTTGGGGTGTGCAGCATAACTTTGCCTCGCTGCTCTCTCCCAAAGTATTTATTGTTGTCCCGTGAGCGAACATGTTCCTCCTGATTTTGTTCCCCCCTCTCCGCCGTTGTGCGTCTCCTTGCCCCGCGGTTGCACCCTGAACGTTGCTGCCGGCACTACACCCAAACTGGCGCCCTGGACGGATCGAAACGGACCCTGTCTCCACTGATGGCAGCTACAAGTCACCCGACAAGAGTACGAAGACAGCGGGGAGAGCATCATCCATCGGATTTTCTTGTGAACGGCTCTTCTTTCTTGTTGCCTGGCCTGCTGAAGCACCTGCCGCCGGCCGGGCGGGGCGCAGGCAGTCGACTTGGTCGTTCTTTCTGTGAAGTGGCGAGACGCACCGTGTTGGAGTTATTTCAGGCAGCACGTTTCCTCACTCGATGAGGTGATATAGTTTAGCACTATTATACTGTGCTTGTTGTGCCGACTCGGGTGCTGCAGTGACTTGGCGTGCAGCCAGATGATGATGGGAGGCACTCCGCCGAACATTGTCGACAAAGACAGACAATTTTATCGTCGTAAGCAAGCGCGGAGGACATCATCTAGGATCCCCCCGAATTCACCAAGATATGCTGTCATATGTGCGGCCATCTTCAGCGAGCTTCCTCGGCAGGGGAGCTTGATCAGCGCAGCGGGAAACGAAGAACCGCGAGGCATACATTGCCTGGCGGAAAATGATTCCCCACACGCGTCCGTGCCATCCTTACCACCATATGGGGAATGCAAATCCACCCCACCGTCGGTGAGACCGTGACACCCGTACCGCAAGCAAAAACCGTTTTTGCTGCCGGGATGAAACGTTTTGCACCTCGTTCGGACCCCAAGCACCGGGTACGTACGGTAAATTACAAGCTCTGATGTGAGTTTGCGCGGTCAACTCCTCGCTTTGGCGTGGGAGGTGGAAGGACGACTGTCCCCCGCCTCCGATTCTCTCGACAAACCCCACCCACCCTACCCGCGAAACCCAAACTAGGTGAAATCACGCAAAACAAGGCGCGCGCGCGCGGGGGGGGGGGGGGGGGCCCTTTGCCGGGCCCCCATAACCCTCCCCCCAAAAAAAAAAGGGTAATTTTCAAAAAAAAAGGGGAAAAAAAAAAAATAACTCTGCGAGGGGGCCCCCCAAAGCAGTATCCTGCCCAAAAAAAAAAAAAAAAACAAAAAAACCCTTTTACCCCCCGGGTTGGCCCTTTTCCCCCCCCCCCTCTTAATTTTTCCGAAAAAAAGGGGTTTTTGAAAAAAAGGGCCCCCCACACCCTTTCATTCCCCATTTTTTTACTAAAACCCCCCCCCCCCCCCCCCCTCCCAATGCCCCTCCCAACCCCAAAAAAAAAAAAAAAAAATCCCCCCC